CCTGGTACCACCTGATGGCTGGCATCATAAATGACACCAAGCTGGTGCTTGCTTTACTCACAGTTTGTAGAACAAGCCGGAGTGTGGTGGCCTGCCAGTAGAGTTGGCAGCAGATTCGGACAGTGAGGAGGTTGGGGAGGGACCTGGGCCAGTCCTGGAGTCTGGGGGAGGCTTGGATGAGGGCTCCGTGTCGGAGGCAGAGAGGGGGCCAGGGCCATATGCCAGTTATCAGCTGCCTTCAGAGTCAGACATCAGTGAGGCAGAGGAACAGCTGGAGCCTGTTCCCAGTGTGCTCATGCACAGAGTTGCCAGATGAAGGGAAGAGCTAAAGAACAAGGGTCGACTTGGGAATAAGGCCACCGGTGGATGATGAACGGCCCCTCCCAGAGGAAATAAAAGAGGAGCGAAAGGGGAGTGGAGTTTGCAGGAGACAATTAGTTCGCTTAATTGGTTCATGACACTCCAAGACTCCTTGCCAAGTTCTGCAGAGATTGACCTGGTAGCTCTCCATGCCAGATATGGTCTGTGACCGTAAATCCTCCCTTGAAAGACTTTGCTGGATGTGAATGAGCAGAATTCACAGTCAATGAATAAAAGGGTATTTTTGTCGGGACCAGGAATTTGCTTCATGCTCTCAGGAAGCCGCGGTCAGAACATGATCATCTTTTGCGACATTCTGGCCAGCAAAGTCCACGGGGAAGCCAGATCCACTTCACAACTGTGTTATTAGCTCAAGAACGGTGGCAGAAAGAATCGTAACTTGGGGCAAGATTCCCTTAACAGCTGTCCTGCTTAGCCATGGAAATTTAGGGCCCGATTGAGGTCATAAATTGAGGACTCCCTACAAGTTGCCTTTCCGTAATGTAAAAAAAAATCCATCCGTGTTTTTTTCTCTCTCTCTCTTGAGTGTTTTAAGGATTAGATCTTAATTTCTCTTTTCACATTCCAGTTGAGCCTGATGCACACCTGTAAACCTTCAGCCCGGCCCTTCAGAGCTTCCAGTTCCCACTTTTTCTTCTTGGTGGTACTTCTGATCGGCCTCGTTTTGGCGTTCATCCCTTTGGGGCTCAGCATGACACGGTCAGTTCCTTTCCTGTTGGGGATGCTTCTCAGGTGTTCCTTGACGTTCCTTTGTGTCATCTCCCCCATGTATTGCAGTCCAGTTCCTTCCTCTTGGCGGTGTAGCCAAGAAACACGTCCCCATAGACAAGTAGAGGAACCGTGTAGCCTTCTGTTAGGTAAGCTCCCCGTTGGGAGAGCGAGTACGTTCAGCAAAGCGTTGTGAGAGTTGTGTT